ATATATATATATATACAGACATACACAAAACAGGGTCGTCAATGCCAGACATAAGAATCATAACTTTAATATAATTTCATTTAAAAAAATGAACAGATCTCAGGTACAGCATGCACACATTCCTTACAAAAGTCTTGGATTGTTTCATAGGAACATCATTATTTACGGGCTGGTTAGAAGAGACAACTGTGAGGAAAGTCATTCGAAAGAATAAAAATGTCTTTAAATCACATTCAAAGATGATGCTACTCCTGAAACATTCACTTATGTGGGCTGTTTTAAGTCATTTTTAACCTAATAGCAGCTATTAACCAACATTTTCATATTAGACACCCTGAAAGATGGAACTGAAGAACAATATTTTATGAGTAGTATTATTTTTCATGACAAAACCGTACATAAACCAAACTGGTCCAATTAAAGTGCATTTGGCAATTTAGAGGGGGAATATTGTGTTAACACTGTGGATTTTATGAACCGAATTAAATCRGATAAAAACATAAATTACATACAAAAAGCTTTCAAGAAATTTTAAACCTGGCAAATTGTCTCCTGACAGCATAAGTTTATTTAATAAAATTTAAATTTGGGATAATTAAAAAAATACAGCATATACAAACTTTTCATGTGTTTCTYTGCTGCCCACTTTAAAACACAGAGGAGCAAAGAACAGAACCTCAGACAACCCTAAAAATCTACACTCTAAAAATGAAATGTTGGATTTACTTAACCATGTTATGTTACCTGGTTCCACTTAACTGAGTTGAGTAAATTCAAAGCAACATACTCATGTTCTTTGGTTTAAAAAACTGGTATACTGCTTTGAATTTAACTCAGTTAAGTGGAACCAGGTAACATAACATGGTTAAGTAAATCCAACATTTCATTTTTTACATAGTTTATCACATCTATGTACAAAATGTGTGCAACTCTAAAGGCATTCGGACGTTACAGTTTGGCACGAGGTACAGAACTCAAACATTTTGACTAAAAACAACCCTGAAAAAAAACAGACTGTTTATATGCCTCTACATGTTGTTTCAGAGATTTAAGTAAAAAAAAACGCATTTGATCTGAGATGTTAAAGATGTAACATTTGGCATTATTGTTGCTGGAAGGATCAGAGAGAGGGCGGGGACCCCTGCAGACCTGACGAGAGACGCTACAGTGCATTTCTGTCGAAGAGACAATCTGTTTATCTTCCTGAGAGCAAAAAGTAAACAGGAACATCGATAGCTTACATTGATTGGGTCTTTGCAATATATGCGTGATATGACAGCCACGTGAGGCGTTCTCTATCATTTTTGTCCAACTTTTACTTTTATTTGGCTCACAAATGTGACCTCAGCAGCTTCTTCTACCTAAATTACAACAAAGTGTTGCTGACTCCAAGAACTTTGACACGTTTTAACAGCAGCTTTACCTGAGAGGGGAACCTCTTAACACTTTTACATATTAAATTTATAGGTTTCTTTCAAGAAATGTCCAAAAACTGGAAGAGGCAAGAACCAAAGTGCACAAGGGGGATGTCGGGTGGGCGGGGTTTATGTTCTACACTTCATTGATGGTGCGCTCAGAGGGCGCGAAGTTGATGGACCTGGACGAAGACATGTAGAAGGACTGAGTTTTGCTGTTAATCCGTGCCCTCTTGGAGGCCACAGACAGGCTGCGTTTGTTGGAGGTGATGATCTCCGTGATGAACTTCTTGCAGTCCACACACACCTCCATGCTGACCCAGTCTTCTGTCAGCTCTTTGGGCAGCTCCAGCTCGTCCTGTAACTGCCCGTCTTTGCTGCCGTGCTTCGACAACCTGAAGACAGAAAAAAACAAAGGTTAGAATCTGAAAAATTCACCTTTTGCTCAGTAAATATTTCTGCATCAACCTTCTTCGTAGACTGTGCCTGCCGTATCCAAAACCAGACGACTGTTTCTCTGATTCAGCAGGAGCAGCAGCTGTGTCAGAACCTTTTTTAGTTGTGGTACCGGGGCCCAGAGAGTAGATGGGCAACGTGGAATAGGGCTTAGACGGGAGACGCATCTGGAGATTAAAAAGAATAAGAATAAAAAGATGTTTTTAAAGCTCTCGCTGAGTTTCACAGATTTACAGCGGAGTGTAAATTAACTCAAAGGTGAACGTGTTCTCTTACCTTTTTGGAACATTGGGCGCACACCGGCCTGAAACAATAAAAAATAACCTTTAATATGAAAATGTCTGAGATAAAATGCTGTATTTAAAATCATTTCAAGTTTTAAAACAAACATTTCTTCCTATGAACCCAAACTAAATTCACTCACAGGAACCTTTTAAGCCGCACAAACATGTTTGTGAACTTTGCTTTCATTCACAACTATTTTGTCACAATTTGACGACAAATATGGATTGTAAGTTAATTGAGACTAATTAGACTTGATGTGAAATTATTTTTGTTTTGATACACTTTTGTAATTTTCCCAATTGACAAAGTTTGTTGATTTCCTGTTTAAGTCCATTATTTTAGGTAGAATTGCCTCAGTTTACCTTTTGCAGAACTGGCATATGTAGGACCAGGTGAAGAGGGAAAACTTTTTGGTTCGACATGAAAAGCAAATCTATAAAAAAAAGGGTGAAGTCAGAAATATAAACGTCAATGTCAAATTTATTTGTATAGCACATTAAAACAACAAAAGCTGACCAAAGTGCTTCACAGTTCAGTCAAGACATATCAAAAAACAAACAAATAATAAATACAAATACAGAAACACAATATAATATATGAAAAAGCTCTAACTGAACCTCCAACTCAGTCTTATACATAAGCCAAAGAAAATAAATGGGTCTTCAGCAAAAGATTTAAAAGCTTCAACAGTCATAAACATCAAAATAAACGTGACAAGGAAGCATTTTATCTTCTCACGTAAACTCTACCTTTCCTTTCTTCAGAGCGCTGTAAACGTCTTTGTATTGCTGGAACTTCTCCAGCTCGGCCTTGACGAGAACCTGCCTGATGTGCATCACCTCCTCCACCGTCAGAGTCAAACACTCCACTGGGTAGGAAAACTCCTCCTGCGGGAAAACACGCATAACGGTTACAGAAAAACAACCGTAAGCTCGTAAAATGTGCAGCTGCGGACGGTGASACAAACACCAAATAAATGGAAACAAGACGCTCAGCACCCACTTAAATAAGATGATGGTGGAGACAAAGCTTTCACCCACTGTGTGACAACTTCTAGGTTTTCTTTTTAGCAACACGGATAATAAACAAAATGTCCTTCAGTTGTTCCATTCATCAAGCTGTGAATTTTTTACAAAACATTCCTCCTCCTCTTCCCCATTCAGCCGTTTCCTGTCACTCCACAGACTCTGCTTTCACTCGAACAGACGTGACATAACATCTCACTCGTGTAAGTGAATTACACGGGGCTCGGTTCGACTTGATGGCATGAAGTAACAGTAACATACCGTGCCCTGATCACTGCAGGCTGCGTCCACCTGACCAGCAGAAAGACAGAACAGGACATTCAGGCTGAAGCAGAAGCTCCAACAAGCTAATCACATGCAGCATGTATGATGAAACTCAACACAAAGCCTCTGTCAATTCAGGGAGCATTTCAGAATCTGTTACGTAATCATTTCCAGCTAACTTTGTTAAAAAGATATTATAATAATTAAGAGAAAAAAACAGTTTGGAACCTTCATGTTGTATTATTTGATATTTAGCGTTAAATTTAACTTCCTAAGCAAAATATCAAAGTTGTCTCATGATCAAAAGTCACTTGACACCATCCTTCTCAAATGAAAGAGTTGAGAGTTCATCTGACAACAACACTACGGCGTGTCTCAGCTGCTGCTTACACGTCCCTGCAGGGTTCCCCCTAAATCCTGTCTGCTAACRGACCCTCCCAAACTGTCTGCCCTTGTTTGACTCACTCTAGTCAAATGCAAAAACAATAAAGTAAAATGAAACTAAATGTAAAAATAGAGCGGTGATGAATAAGAAAGAGACATCAACCAAGTTACCTTGCTACTGGGGTTTCCTGTTTGCTGCAGAATTATAGGGGGGAAAAAAGGATAAAACTGCAAGTAAACAAGGTGGCAAATCAGAATCAACAGGAGGCTCAAGAAGCTCAATGAATGTTTGTGTGAAGAGCTACATTTACAGATTTAATTCAGTTTATAAAACAGCCTCAGGATTAGCACCTCAAGTCTYTTTCTTTTTTTATCAAGAATAAACATGTTTCATTCAAAACTCTTGCTGTCTGGTGGTTTCAATTACATCCCATCAACCTCACAGTAATAACATGATGGGTCACAGGACAGGAGGAGAGGTTGATTTTATTCTACATCCACTGTTCAGAGTTGATTTAACCACATCCATAAACTCCCATTTTAAAATGGCAACCCATTTTTCTAAAATCATTACAMGTCCTTACTGGTCTAAATGAAAATAGGTGAGAAAATAAAACATCAAATTCAACCTTTGTGTGATGTTTGTGTTTTAAATACATCTTAAAACTTATGTAAATAAACTTAATTATAGTGGATCAAAGGGATTATTCATTTGAAATATAATATACATCATTTTGTTGCAGTTTGTCAACTTTTATTAAAATACTTTGCTTGTTGAATATTAAAAAATACACTTTAGTCAGCAGTGTATGACAACTATGAATTAAAGTTTAAACGATTTGCACACACAGCTGTCTGCATGTTACAACACCATCCGTGTTTGTTAGAATGATAAGATTAATAACTTATAAAAGTCTTGAATATCTTCTGACTTTGATTAGTTCCACACCTGATTTTCTTCTCTTCCCTTCAAAAGTCTGAGTCAATCATAAGCGCTGATTGAATTAGTGACATTTTTCTGTAAATGTTCATTACTTTATTTTTAAACAGGAGCGATGTTAAAAATCTGCCAATTGATCATCCAGACATTAACAATCATTTTAAAAGGAATCATTTCCTCAGTTAACTCACCAAAGACTTGCTGTTTTGTCTGGACAGTGGCAGGAAAGGACGAACACTGGAGGAGCTCGCCCTCTCAGAGTGCCGCCTCTGGAAAGGCTGATGCTTCTCAAGCTGGACGGTGGCAGAGAGAGGCAGAAGCTTCTGAGGTGCTGGAGGGGTGAGAGATTAGAGGAGGAATTTATTACAAGACAAAGAGGGTGAGCAAAAACTCCATTTATGTGTTTTGTTGAAGTTTAATTCATACCTTTCTTCCCCACAGCAGATGTGTCTTCTTTTACAGAAGAGGACCTACTGGAGCTGCTCAGTGTGGGCTCCTCCTACCAACCAGGATAAACAACATATTCAGTAACRTGTCACAAACACTGAACACAACTTTAATAGAAAAATAGAAATCTAATAGAAAAAAGAGGTTTATTTCCAATGAAATATTCACAAGTTGTGTGTGTTTGAGCTGGGATTCAGAAAACTTACATCAGATTCGGAGCTGTCCAGCTCGGCCAGCGTTGGCGCCTTGAGCAGCCTCTTCCTCTGGCTCARCGGCTGTAACCTTTGAGGGGTTCCTGTGCTGCCACCGGCCAGAGARTGGGTGCTGCCGACAAACTTCCTCTGAGAATCAGGAGAGTCTGTTGGTTCAAAACGAATCGCTCAGTTGAAAGATCAAAACAAACCCCAAACACATGTTTAAGTAGAGATTTGCTTCACTGCCGTGTTGAATAAATGAAGCAGTTACAATTAGACTGATTTGCACTTTACCTGAACTGCGGAACAAGTCCTGAGGGGTGCTGATGCTCTTCCCCGCTCCTGCAGACAAATTTGGGTGAATAAAACAGGGAGGATGTAACAGCAGCAAGCATCTGTACGACTAGATGTAGTGAACTACCAAACAGAGAAGTTGTGGCTGGAAGCACAGAGGGAGAGTTGTGTGGAGGAGAGAGCCACAGAAGCAGAGAAACAAAATGAGTGCAGCCACAGCGCTAAATATTCTTATTATTATCTTCTAAAGGTTAATGTTGCATTCAAACAAACAGCCATTAGGCCGTGTGTGAGGTAGATTATTGCTGCGACATTATGTAATTTCTCATACGCAAAGAGCAGATTAGACTGCGGGGTGATTTGTAATCTCATATTAGCAAACCCCTCTCAGTTTAACCAGCAAAAGCAGAGAAAATCAACATGAAAACGTCACATTGTGAGATTAGGTTGTGCTGCGTTGAGCCCATGTTTTTTCTCAGGCTTTTAAAAAGTGCTCTTATCTYAGCTAACTTTACGTGACAGGAGTGTGTTTTACATACAAGACGACACCAGGGAGAAGCAGGAGCTAACTTCTCTAAACACGTTCCAATATGAAATTTACCTGCCGAGTCAAAACTGTAAGACATGCTAAGAGGTCGYATGACTGACAGAAAAGATCACGTTAGGAGAAAAGAAGAAAGAAAGTTTTAATAAAAATGTTAAAATGAATGAWGAAAACAATCGTTGGTAAAATATCTGACGACTGACACAAAACTTTAAAAGCAAACACCTGCTCAACAGGACTGTTATTTTTAGCAGGACATTTATCAATCTAGTTTTAACTTCAACAGGCTCTGACAGAACTTTAAACAAAACCCCTGCAGTCAGAATAATTCTTGTTTAAACACTGTAACACTTACGATTAAGCAAACAGATACAAGCTAGTAAAAGTAATAATGATTAATGTGGTTAAGGATGGGTTTGGTTTTTGTCCAGAGTGAGCAGGTTAGACTCAAAGTCATGCTGTAGGTTTACAGCTACAGAGAAGATATTTGGATATGCATATAGATACAGTTTGAACTTTTCAAMCTTTTTGACACATTTCAGGCTTCAAACATAAAGACATAAAATTTTGATTTTTTTGTCAAGAATCAACAACAAGTGGGACACAATTRTGAAGTGGAATGGAATTTATTGGATATTTTAAACTTTTTTAACAAATAAAAAACTGAAAAATTGAGCATGCAAAATTATTCGGCCCTCTTGCATTAATACTTTATAGCTCCACATTTTGCGGTGATTATTACAGCTGCAAGTGGCTCAGGGTGTGTCTCTATCAGTTTTGCACATGGAGAGACTAAAATTCTTGACCATTCTTCCTTGTAAAACAGCTGGAGCTCAGTGAGGTTGGATGGAGAGTGTTTGTGAACAGCAGTTTTCAGCTCTGTCCACAGATTCTGGATTGGATTCAGGTCTGGACTTTGATATGGCCTTTCTAACACCTGGAYACATTTATCGGTGAACCATTCCATTGTAGATTTTGCTTTATGTTTTGGATCATTGTCTTGTTGAAAGATAAATCTCCATCCCAGTCTCAGGTCTTTTGCAGACTCAGACAGGTTTTCTTCCAGAGTGGTCCTGTATTTGGCTCCATTCATCTTCTCTGTCCCTGCTGAAAGCATGCCCAAACCATGATGCTGCCACCACCATGTTTGACAGTGGGGATGATGTGKTCAGGGTGATGAACTGCATTGATTTTACGCCAAACATATCGTTTTGCATTGTGGACAAAGTTCGATTTTGGTTTCATCTGACCAGAGCACCTTCTTCCACATGTTTGGTGTGTCTCCCAGGTGGCTTGTGGCAAACTTTAAACAAGACTTTTTATGGATTTCTTTGAKAAATGGCTTTCTTCTTCTTCCACTCTTCCATAAAAGCCAGTTTGTGCAGTGTACAACTGATTGTCCTATGGACAAACCCTCCTCTCCCCCTCAGCTGTAGATCTCTGCAGTTCATCCAGAGTGATCATGGKCCTCTTGACTGCATTTCTGATCAGTCTTCTCTTTGTTCCAGAGATGAAAGTTTAGAGGGACGGCCGGGTCTTGTAGATTTTGGTGATCTGATACTCCTTYCATTTCAATATGTTGGAATGCAGATTGCTCTTTGAGATGTTTAAAGCTTGGGAAATCTTTTTGTATCCAAATCCAACATTAAACCTCTCTACAACAGTATCTCAGACCTGCCTGGTGTGTTCCTTGGTCTTCATGATGCTCTCAGCACTTGAAACAGAACCCTGAGACTATCACAGAGCCGGCGCATTTATACAGAGACTTGATTACACACAGGTGGATTCTGTTTATCATCATCAGTCATTTATATATATATTTTTTTTGTTTTGTTTTGTTTTGTTTTGAAGCTTGAAATGTGGCAAAAGTTTGAAAAGATCAAGGGAGCTGAAAACTTTGACAAGGCACTGTATATATCATTTACGCTCACTTGTCAGGTCTTAAACATAATTTATGATTAAGAGTCCCACCTAGGCGGTTCCTCCGGTTTTTGCTTATATTGGGTGAAACTGGCCGAAGCTTCCTCTCAGCTTTGATGTCCTCCAGCAGTCGCTCGTGGAGGCTTGGAGGGCGTGGAGGGTGGGGTTTTAGTTTACGGGCCGACACCTGTCACAGCACATCACAGTAGCGTTAAACATGGACATAAATACCTCAACGTGTTTATTATTCATTTCCAGTCGTGTCACATTCACAGCTCACGCCCAAGCGCTCGTAAAACAATCAAATATTAATGCCAGTGGCTGCTCTCACAGCTGTAAATATAAAAGATTTATTTTCTAAATGTTCCCAAGGGGACGTGCTATCCTAATGGAGTTAAATGTTTGTTGTATTAAAGATGAAAAGGCAACAATAAGCACCAGAGGTAGGTGACACGGTGTTACTTACAGGGTTCAGAGGAGGTCGGGATCTGATAAACTCCAGAATGATCTCGTGTGCACTCTTCTTTAATCGTGGAGGGATGTCYCCGTTCACCTGGAATGGCAATAATAACTTTAAACAAAACACTCAAAGCTCATTACCAGATGCTTACAAGAAGAAAATGAAGAATTATAAACATAATTTACAAAAAAAMCCCTCTTTTGGTGTTAGCAGGTGATCCTCACCATGACTTTCCGCAGCTTGTAACGTTTGGAGCGAATGTCATCCATCAGCATTTCGTACGGCGTCAGCTGATATTCTATGGGCAAAGGGTTGTACTGACGCTCCTGTACTTTCTTCAACTTCACGCCGTTCCGTAGATCTCGCATCACTTGCACCCAGAATCGTGCCTTTAGGGAACATTTCCAGGAAGTGATTGATGTTGTGTTGTAAAAACACACAAACTGCAGTTATATGTAGTAACCAAGACAGGCAGCATGATGTAAAAAGTGAATATTCTTCTCACCCAATCAGCATTCTCCAGCTCGTTGAGGTCTCTAACGGGTTCATCTTGGGTCTCGCCTTCCATTTTTCGAAGGTTCTAATCAGCAAAAAAGAAAAATCATGAGGCATGAAAGAAAAGATATGTACACACATGCACCAGCTAATATAAAGCTGAGGTTATGAGTAAACTTTCTATGTTTGAAAGTCGGGCTGTTTATTTAATCAGTGAATGTAAAGAGTGTTGATAAACCATCTTATCCTGTGTCCACAAGGTACAAGGAGGAAATACAAATTGTTCATTTTTCTTTAGTGATTGTGTGCACCTCCAGGTTATAGGTTCCTTCTGCTGTTGGCATCATTTAAAATAAAAGTTTTTTTGTCTCAAGCTCAGTTTAAGTTGATCAAAATATAAAATAAAATGTATATTATTGCTTAGTGTTTAAGCATTTGATCAAGTAATGCAGACAAGGTTTTGTGCAAGCAGCTGCTTTTCTTTAAATGTTTGTCCCAACGTGTGAACATAGCACGAAAAGAAAGGGAATCTGTTTAATTATTTCTTTGTTGTTATTTCTTCTTACCAATAAATCCTATGCCAGAAGCTCAAAATAAGTGTWAATAGCAACAGCAAAATAAGCTGTTTGGCAGATAAGACTTGRAACATTTTTCACATGTGCAACCCACACACTGACTCACTGCTCATCCCACAAATGCATGTTCCTTACAAATGTGGCACCATTTACAAGGGAAATTAACAGACTTTCCAACAGGGTGYGATTTATTCCCAAAAAGCCTTGTTGCAACCAAGAAATAATCTGCCAAACACAAATTTCCTTAATTTTTCTGCTAGGTGTATTTACTGACATTGAACTAATTCCTTTAATCACAAAATGCATATTTTTTTCTATCAATACTCACAAATGCATCGTTAACTTGTACAAATCCTCTAATCAGCACAGCTTAAACATTATTTCATTTTTTTCTAGACTAAGAGAAAAGTCAAAGGAATCCAGAGCAAATGGATGCACACWGATAAAAAGATAAAAACGTTTTATCTGCAAGAGCAACTGAAAGATAAACTCACTTACTAATCATGAGTATGTGTAACACCAGTTACCATGTAAATACTTAGAAGAAATGATCAAGTGGCACGTAATCATCGCCTGGTGGTCTGAACCCGGCCTGTAAGCTCCTTAAATTCCTGTAATAAGGTTAAACTTGATTCTATAAACATAAATTACATAAGACTGTTACATGAATCATCCCTGATGCTTTATTGTGTTTATATTGTAGAAAGTGGGTTAACTCAATCTTAATTTAATCAGGGCAACAATAGAAAACCGAACTTTGTGTGATAGTTATTTTAAAAGCATGTCATTTCCCTGCAGCCTTATGATTGTTTTTTTATTTGAAGATATTCTCTTCGAACCCTTATTGCCTGGAGAAATTGTAAGTCAACAGCACAGATGAGTAAATTTACACACAAACCATTCACATTAAAATGACACAAAATGCTAATCTGCCACATTGACAAAAGCTACTTATGATTTCATCCACTCTCAGTTTGCCAATGTTTTTGCACCTTTTTAGTGTTTTAAATAAAAAGTGAGCCTATTTGATTTCTGTTGTTTAAAACAAGCTGTCACAAGAAATTAGCCTGACTGTGTTTAGCTCCTCCAGGATGGAAGATCGTGTCCAAGCAGGATTTGGTCATTTCACCTGCTGCGTCTGAGATTTCTGCCGGACTAACAAGACGCCAACAAACTGTTCTGCACAACAATCACTTTGTGCACTGTTTTGTTTACATAAATCATATATTTTCCCATCTCCATCAGGTGAATCGGTGTTTTACAGTAAACCCACAGATAAAGCCTTTTCGGTGATTTCCCCTTTGTTTTTGTCCTCTGACCAGTTTATCACATGGACCTGAGGATGATTCATGAAAAATACTTGACTTTAGGAATGTACTCAGTTACTGAAAGTGTGTGCAGAAGTCATTAATCATTGTGAGTTTTATTTTATTTTTTTTTTACACTCGTTAGATTAAAAATGACACAGCGTGAAGGTATGCAGACGGTAGCAGCTCTTTCCACTGATTTCCTCCTCGCTGGATTTTTAACCTCAAAGTTTTCTTACCTCCTTAGCACTTTTAATCTTGTCCAGAAAAGTACGCAGTTCCTTTGTCTCGGCGTGGAGAGCCCGACACACAGCCTGGTAATGGTTAGGAGCATCGGAGGGGCTGGGCAGGTGGGAAGAACAGATCTATAAGGGGTTTGAAAAAGATAAGAGGAAATTTTATATATAGATGCTTATAGAACTGAATCCCCCTCAAGAGCTGGGTTTTGTAAATAAATTAAAGGGATCCAAGATTAGTTGTAACATTAGACTTTATTTGATAAACATATATTTTAACTGTAAAATAAAGACTGTAAAAATACTGTAGGATGTTTAGTTTTTATAATTTTTTAAAATATAATTTAACACAGATGTAGCCATTTCATTTACACACAAAGCATTCTGGGTAAATGATGACATGGATAGGTCCTCAGTGCGAGGCTGCTAGCGAGCTATATCCACCCTGAAGGTTAATCTTGGACAATATCTGATGATCGAGTCTTAAATGAAACCAGAGAGCGTTGACAGAGAGGAGAAGGTAGAAATGACTCAGCCTGTAACTGAAAATATGGATGGAGGACAACAGAKCTGCTTCATGGAAGAAGAACCTCAGCTTAGCCTGTTAGCCTTCACGCTAGTGCTGAGACTATATTGCCTTATATGTATTAGCTCGGCGCTAGCGCAACAAACAAGCTAAAATGAGGTCCTCCATCCATATTTTCACTTGCAGACTGAGTCATTTTTGTGTTCCCCTCTCTGTCATGTGGATGGAGGACCTCAGTGATGAGAGGAGAATGTGTAGCGCTGAGCTAATACATATATATGGTGATAGCGTCGGGGCTAACGCTAAAGCTAACGGGCTAAGCTGAGGTTCTTCTTCCATGAAGCAGCTCTGTTGTCCTCCATCTATATTTTCAGTTACAGGCTGAGTCATTTCTACCTTCTCCTCTCTGTCAACGCTCTCTGGTTTCATTTAAGAGTCAATCATCAGATATTGTCCAAGATTAACCTTCAGGGTGGATATAGCTCGCTAGCAGCCTCGCACCAATGACCTAACCATGTCATCATTTACCCAGAATGCTTTGTGTGTAAATAAAATGTCCCTGTCTGTGTAATATATTTTTTAACTTTTAGTTTAAAAATGATAAAAACTAAACATCCTACAGTATTTTTAGTCTTTATTTTACCATTAAAATTTATGTTTATTAAATAAAGTCTAATGTTACAACTAACTGTGGATCCGTTTAAAAATGTGCCTTTATAAAAACTAATATGATTACGGTACTGCTGTGCACAGAATGGAGTATTCTTCTAGAATCAACGTAAGAAAAATCATTTTGAAGTCAACAAAGCAGCAAGACTAAACAAACTCAATCTGCTTCCTCTTCTTTAATTTTCTGCCAAACTAAAACTTGTTTTAACAYGACCTGGAGCTTCACTGTGCTCACACGCTTTGCTTCAGCAAACGAGTGCATCTTTAGATTTAATGGATTTTCAGACTCTAATCAGAAAATTAACCAATTACTTCCAAAATTACAAAAAAAAAAGTCTTGCTCAAAAAAAAAATAGAATCCATGCAAAAAAATGTGTGATTTTTTTAAACATTCAAGTTATTACTTGCTAAAATTAAGCAAATAAACATATCCATATAACAAAGAGAAAATCTATATGAGAGTCTCAACTTTTTTTTAAAAGCCATAAACACCGCCCAACTAACATCAGACAGAACATTCCTTTAACGTTGTTAAAAACACAAAACTGAACAAAAAAAACAAACAAATACGTCATGAACCAGCTGATCCAGTTGGAGAAACATGGCCTCATTAGCATTTCTTATTTACCACATAACAGGCTCTGCCCCGTCAGGTGTTCAACCCGATTGTCACGATAATAAAAGCTGCCTGTAAGAGCAATGAAGTCTTTCAAATTATCTCCAGAACAAAGAAGAGAACCAGACGAATGGCATATTTTTATGTTTGTACAATGGGCTTGGCTGGCCTAGCTCAGCAAACGATACCTTTTATTTATTTTTTTCTCTCCCAGGAAGACACCTGAAGAGCACCTGAAAAGTGAAAGTATTCACTGCCTTCTGAGAAGCATTTGTTTTTCCACCAAAATATTATCTGCTGAATATTTTAACCTGATACTGATAAAGGAAAAGCTGGAAATATTTTCATCCTARAACTCAACTGAATATAAATAAAATAAATATACTAGTTAATTTTGACTATGCTCAGTATCATTGTTAGCAGTCAAATTATGTCAGAAATTATTTAAATACTTGGAAGAGTTATGATAAGCATAACAAATGAACAATCAAAGCACCAAACTGACAGCTTTAGTACAAAATCTTCAATTCTTCAGTTCTGTTTTACTAAAACACTAWTAAAACTCATTCAGTACATCTTAGCATGTCCTGTCATTTTTCTACATCACATTCGGCCCGATCACATGACTAAATCCGATTCTACCCGATTTTCAAAAAAATGGCCATATCTGCCACCGATACCGAGTATCTGATCGGRACATCCCTAATTGCTACAAGTATGCATTTATTTAATCCATACATACAGTATTTGCTGCACTTTTATCAATCTGCATTGCTGTTACTTATCAAGTGCTGCATCTGTAAATATTCTTCTAAGCAAACATGTTTTTTTGTATTTTTTGTTCAAACGTCTAAGATGTTTTTAAGTGTTACAAGACACAAATTGAGCAAACTAAACCTGAAGGCAGAGGATTTCTGCTTTCAATCTCCAGAGAGCAAAGTGAATCCTCTGAAAGGTAGTTAGACCTATTTTAAGACCATTAGAGAAACCGATCCCAGAGCTGCGCAGCTCATTTGCATACATGAGAAACAGAAAAATAAAAGGAGCTATGCTGAGAATTAAAACAATCCAGATGGAGACGTTCCGATTTTTGGTGCCAAGTTGTTTGACCTTAACAACTAAATGTTTTATCCAAAGATGTTCAACATCATAGATCATGTTAAGATCATATTAAGTTCATTTAGCGAAACTGAAGGGTTCTGTCAAAAAAATGAGACCCTGATCTGCAGTAAGTTTTAGTTATAGAAGTCAGATAAATAAGCAGTTATTCTCACATTAAAAAAGTGTGAAACCCTGATCATTACTTTCCAGATGTTGTGTTTTCTGTGCGAGTGTAACAACTTTGTCTATTGTTTATTGTAATAATTCCTGAGACAATTTATCGTGCAGCAAAATTTYCGTGACATGCCTAGTGATAAATCATATAATTCATGTTTTTAGAGGATTGTTAAGGGAGAGCTTCCTTTTCCAAACAAGCCCTCGTCCACACCTCTAACTTACCCCGATGATGTCTTGATAACTCTGGATTTGGCTGACTGGGCTTCCAGATGTAACCGATTCGAGCTCCTCTTCCCCCTCTTCTTCCTCACACTCGTCCTCTTCCTCTGTGGCCTCGTAGCCCTCGTCAGGACAGGGGTCGTTCTCCTTTTCTTCCATGTTGGTCATCAGGTCGATCAGGCGCTCCAGCGGGGGGCTGAGCTCCCGCTCTTCATTCTCCTTGAGGCCATAATCCAGAGCTTTGTAGATCATGATGCCCAGCGAGTCAATAACCTGCAGAAATGGAAGAAATTAGAAGGTTTGGTTTCAGGATGTATCATCTGCAGGTATTTAAATTAATACTGTAATAAAACATTTTTTTATTGTTTAAAAACATCCTCCTTCACCTGGGAGATAATACTTTAAGCCGTGTCTGTGTGTTCATGTGCCTCAAGATTTTATTTATATTTTCAAGAATTATTAGATATACATCTAGAATTTATTATTTTTTTATTCAGTTCAATTCCAGTTGTCCATCTCAGTTAATCAACATTAGCAAACACAAATTTAGCAATAACTCAGACACTTTTAAAGATACCATGATCAAAGTTGATTTGATAGTAGCTGAGAGTCATTCATAACACATCCTCAGAGCAAAACATTTCACTAGATCACAAAATGTTATTTTAAAAGCCAGACCTAAACAGCTACAACGCTGTCATTTTTCAATATATGACCCCAGTCTGAAACACTGACAGGAAAATTCTGGGTCATATGAATATATGAATTAAAATGTGTCTTTTTGCGTTGTACAAATATTTAGATTTTCCCAGCTAGCAGAGAAAACTCGGATTTGCTTTCTGCCCTTTATTTTCTGAGACTGTTAACACACCCTCATGGAACAGTTCCTGTCTGACAACCATCTACAACAAACAGAAATCATCTGAACAGACAAGCGAGATCACATGAAATGAGGCCGCCGTGTTCCTTCAAACAGCACAAATATTACACTGACTTCACTGCTGCTTCCTCAGATTAATCAGAGCGGTCTGACCCGTCCTGCTGCAGCCTCTTTAAATGTCTCCATCTACCACAGAACTGGACAAAGCTCGTCTTTGTCTACGTCTTCATTTGGCTCACTGCGCCGTCTCGAGACGCTCTAAAAGCTCACCTTACTGGACCTCAAACAAACTTTGTGAACATTAAACACRCCGTACAAACTTTTCCTACAAAGCAAGTCTTTTTTTTCTCCTTTGGGTACCGTTTTATTTGATGACATGTTTCCGTTTTCTACGTGATGCAACACTGACCAGAGACACTTTGTTCAAAGCAGGAGGTTCCCAAACCAAACAGAGAGCTGAGGAGGGCGAAGCTCGTAAAAATGGGCACGGCTGGTTGGGTTTGGGTTTGGCTTCAGGGACAGCACAGCACCTGACAGGAGTCTAGGTGGCGACTTAACGGCAGAAAAGGGCGTTGACTGAGAATGCTTGAATGCATCAACTCCATCGCAGCTGAAACGTTCGACAGTATAAGCCAATGTTTCCCATGGGTTGCCTTGGTTTGGTTCTCTTAGGGGAAAAACAAACTGAGAACTAATTAGAGTGGAAAGGTTTAATACTTGCAGGAATGTGGGGAAATTAAATTCCTAACACTGACTTTCTTTGCAGTTTCTGACCCTGTGTTGCAGTGTYGCTGCTGTTATCATGTATTCGCCATCGCCTAGTGCAGCTGATAATCCTGTTCCAGGGCTAAAACAAATATCCTATTCCTTACTGCCTTATTATGTAACAATATAATCCATCTGCAGGCCTTCATGCAACATAGTGGGAAATGAAATGAGGGAAGCCACAATGATGGAATGGGACAATACTGATTTAAACCTTAATTTAAGGAAAAGGTTTTGTAATATTTTTAAGTGTTTTAGCTCACAAGTTCTATAGACTTAAGTCTCTCAGAGTTCTTTGAACTTTGACTCAAAGGTTTAGACTTACTGACCTGCAAGTCCTGAACAGATTTAGTTACTTTACATCCAAGTTTTGAGGCAACAGAAAAATGCTGTGATGATTAAACCCGATTGGTTCAATGGAAGCCATCAGAGAGCAAACCATTAAAGCACAATCTGGTTCAATCCTTTGAACTTTGACTCAAAGGTTTAGACTTACTGACCTGCAAGTCCTGAACAGATTTAGTTACTTTACATCCAAGTTTTGAGGCAACAGAAAAATGCTGTGATGATTAAACCCGATTGGTTCAATGGAAGCCATCAGAGAGCAAACCATTAAAGCACAATCTGGTTCAATCCTTTGAACTTTGACTCAAAGGTTTAGACTTACTGACCTGCAAGTCCTGAACAGATTTAGTTACTTTACATCCAAGTTTTGAGGCAACAGAAAAATGCTGTGATGATTAAACCCGATTGGTTCAATGGAAGCCATCAGAGAGCAAACCATTAAAGCACAATCTGGTTCAATCCTCTAAAATCATACATAATGACAACTTAAGTAGTTAAAAACAACAAATGTAGCCTAGGTAACATGATGTGTCATTACTTTAAAAGTATTGTAACTTTGTTAATTTCCATCTATAAAGCAATTTGTCCAAATACCAGTATGATTAATAAATGGAGCATGAAAATGGTAAACACAGCTGAGTTTTCCAATTAGACACTGCTATCTTATTTGAAGGCTTATGGCTCAGAGGAATAAGAGGAGGAGGGGGACAAGTATGTGGATAATCGGATGAGGGGGAAAAAAACACTGCTTGGCTTCAAAGACGAATATTTTAGTAATAAACCACAAACTGAAACAATGAACTTCCAGAAGAGGTGGGTGTTTGATGAAACACAAATATACGCCACTGATGAGGTCTAAGCCAATAGATGGCACAAGATGCTTCGCCTACAAGTGTTTCTTAGGAAATGCCTCAAAATGAGTCATAGTCACCCCTGAGAACGTATTCAGCTTTGGGGTGCGATGGTTTACTAAACTCACAAAGTTCAAAGAAAAAGTGCGAGCAGCTCAGAAACACCTGAGTCCATTCAGAATGTGAAGAAGCATTCGTCAGACGTTTCTCTGGGTTTAGCGGGACACGTCAGGCAGAGGAAGTTCCTCGTGTTCTCTTGTTCCAACGACAACTTTCTGCTTATGAATAAACTTTGTTTCTTGAGGGAACAAATCTGTCCTTCAGGGCTACACAACACTGACTTCTGAGCCTCAGAGATGATTTACAAATGTGTCTAGACAAATATAATTGATCATTGCCTGACTTTTTTTAACTTTTAATGATTTATTATTTGATAAAGACTTTAGTACCTCCGCCAAGAGCGAGGTAATGTTTTCGGTCGCGTATGTATGTTCGTCGTTCTGTCTGTGGACAACATTACTCAAAAACTTGTGGACGGATTGTCATGACATTTTTATCGCATGTGGATACTGGGCCAAGGAACACATCTTTAAATTTTGGTGATATTCCGGATCACAATGCGGATACAGGATTTTTTTTCTTTTAACACTCTGAGATCGGCAAAGCTGTGATGCTTTCACAGGGCTTCTGTAAAAAAACAGTGAGCTGGATTGGACAGCACAGACTTCAAACTTTATAAAAGTAATGTTAAAACCAGATTAAATGATGAATAATTTTTGCCATAATATGTGCATTTACAGAACGTTTTTGTGACCAGGAAGTGCGTGACTGCACCATGAAAACTATGTTTCCCATTTCCAAAACAACCAATCAAAACAGTTTCTCGCTTCTAGGCTTGTAAACAGAGAGCTGCCAGGTCTCAAAGTTTGTAGACGGGGGGAGCCAGGAAGCACTTTATAAAGAAAGTGAAACCATTACAAACTCATACAAGGGGATAAAACAGATGTTTTACACGGTGAAATGTGACTGATGAAAACTTAGGAGCTTAATCCGACACCAGTTTGATGATGAATAACATCGGGTGACGAATCTGACTTTTTTTTTTCCACATTGGACTCCACCGGGAAGAAATTCCTTGCATACTGCCTGCTTAAATGTTCGCTACGTCAGAACTTATTCGTCAAATGTGTTTCTTTTTGCTTTTGCGCATTAACTCTTACAGGATGGGGGAAATTGTTACATTTTTGGTTAAATACTGTTTAGTTCAGTCATTTTGTTTTCATGTTATAGTATGTCACGTTATACTTGTTTTCACCTTGCAATGAAGGCTTATGGATGTACACACTGTCTTCTGCAMTGTAGCGTGAGAAGTTTAGTGTGTTTTGTTCCACATTCCTGTTCTTTTTGTTTTCCTAAAAATGACTCGACGTGTTCCATCTTTCCCTTACACTGACTAGAGTGACGTAAAATACAGATTAAAATGACTCTTTTCACACTGCTGCTTTAATTAAAAGCACTTATATTTATCCGAAAGCAGAAATAAATGTTCTAGAACAAGGTTAACATAAGTCTGTGCAGTTGAAGCCCAAGGCGTCTGAGGCTATTCAAGTTCACAAAGCTGCCAGATGAGCAGCCTTTGCTGCAGTAGTAGGGCAAAGCCATCCCAACACAGACGGTTACATAACCACAGCTAGGAGGGCTTCTACTGCAGGAAGGATGCTCAGCCTCCTCTGGTCTGCAGCATCACTTATGACAGTTCTTATTGGGACAGAACACGATGCTCCTCTTTCATGTGAGCTGGTCGGAAACTGTTACGCTTGCAGAGATTTGGGACGTCAAACAGAAAACTGCTGAGGCCTGAGAACATGTCTCTCAGCATCAGCTCAGTCTGGCTTTAAAGGCGTTTCTGTTCATCAGTGGGATGCTGAAGGCGTCAGAGCTGATCCTTTACACAACAGCAAGCTATAAAACCAAGCTCATCTTTATAACTTAAGATCACAAACACAGAGAACACGAAAAGTTACCCTCCCAACAATAAAAGCCTCTTTCACACAGCAGCTAATAATATGTGCACAAAGAATATCCACCCAATTAAATAAATAGGCTGGTTTATTTCACTTTATTTAACAATTCACCAACTGATATGTTCAAAAATGACTTTTCCCGCATGTCTTAAAAAAATAAAATAAACACGACTTTGCAGCAACTGCTTCAAAGCATCTGCATCAAAATACATAAAATTTTAATTACAATAATTTCTCTGGTCTGACTAGACCAGATAAGATAAGTCAGAAATAGATTTCTTCAGTGTTGAACATAAATAGAGTGAGCGGACCTAAATAGTTCCAACAGCTCAATAATTGGATTCCYGTGACTTTGTGATTTTTTTGTGGATGTCCATTTATAGGGAGAATGATAGCCTTAGGGGCTGTAATGTGAGCCACAAGGTTGTTTTTAAAGAGAGTTAGTGTCTCAGAAATCAATCGATTGATTTGGTTAAAAGCAGGGGGCAACATAATGAGGGTGCTGGTTTCTGTCAGGCACTCAGGGATCAAAAGCAGAGTCAGACAGTGAACTTTCAGAGGTTGTCACTGCAAACAAATACACAGACACCTAATTAAAAAAAGAAATTTCTCATTGCTACGAATGAAAAAGCATGAAAAATCTGTTTCTTCTTCTCAGCTGTGCAGCAGCGTGATGTCAGAGCTGACAAGAGTGAGTCTTTGTGATGACAGAAGTCACAGCTGGCAGGGAGAGGCGTTCAGAAGCCCCTCATTCAGCCCCTGTTCAACCAGCTGCACTGCTGCTCACTCAGCCTGTGACAAGCAGTCAAATATGCTTCATTTATCTTGGTCCTAAAATAAAATTATACTTCTATTGCAGAGTTTACATGAATCACATAAGAGTTCTGTTTCAAAATKACAGGTTTTACCTCAGGCAAGACGATGGGAAACCAAGTCTTGGCATCAAAATTAACTTCAAGGTCTTCAGCCAACTTGGCAAACAGAAGTGCCTAATTGGATACCAAAACTAATCTCACCTTAATCTTCAGCTGTAGACAAACTAGGTTAAGCTCGGCTGCTGCATGCTGGGTGAAAAAGGTGCACAATGAAGCACGTGGTTCAGCAGTTTTCTAAAAGATTATGCCAGGAAATAAATCTTATAACTAGTTTTAACATCAGTAAAGAGAACGGGTCAACTTTACAGAAGCCAGCTGTGAAGCCTGGTGAAAGTCCGAGCGACTGATACTAACTGAGTCACTTTCACCAGAGGCCAAGACCCGACAAACAAACATGGTCAGAAATGAAAGACAAACCAGTCGGTGACAGGCTGTAACAAAGAGGAATCCAGGAATAAACCTTTGAAGATAAATCAAAATAAGGGAGTTTGCAAACAAGCAAAAAATAAGGGGAGGTCTCCAGGAATCTCTTGATGCTCCAATTATTCTTAACGATAAATAGGAAATTCTCATCCTTTTTTACTGTTTTCTGATTTGCATTAATCTGTTGTTGTTTTTCCATTGCTGATAATTCCCAAGCTGAAATTAATTAAACACCATCCAGCTGCAAATATCGTAAGTTTATTCTCTGCAAGCAGAAACAGYTAACTCTTCCGGTATCACATTTAGGTTAAATGTTTGTATCTAAAATTTAAAAAAAYATATACATCAAGCAAGAGTAAAAACTGCAAGATTTAAGATTTTTCGCTGGTTTCCAGGTGATTGTAATGGTCCCCCAGATGATCTTAACAAGTTATAATCCATCTCTCACGTGTCACTTTGCTGACAGTAAACGGCTCAGAAAACTAAATATTTTCCAACAGACAGGTAGTGGCCTCGAGTTTCAACCACAAGATTAACTTCGTTAGGCTTCTTGGTGGATTCAAATGGCTTTTGTGTAAGATGTCATTWCCAAGCAAAACCAGTAAAACAAACACACCCTGTTTTTGGAACRTAGTAGAAGCCAAATCACGTGCGCAGAATGCAACCATGCTGAAACCAGCTGAGCTACTAGCTTCAACCAAAGTCAAGGAATGGAAATTAGACGACGCTCGTATTTAGCATTTGGCTTCAGCATTTCAGCCCAGTAGAGATGGTGAATGTGGTTCAGTTGTGAGATATCATCATGCTGACTGTCAGTTGAGGTAAAAGGAATTTCATGGTAGTACCCAAGTGAAAATACACAYACTGTGCATGCCAGGGATCACATGAACTACCAGACAAACAGGAAGGACAGTCTAGTAGCAGATCGTGTGTCTAGTCTATGTACACATAATGAACCTCTTAGAGACATCGTCTTGAAACATTACACAGCATACCTTTCTCCGTCAAACAGAAAAAAGCCTCGTGTCTTTCACTTGGAGATAATGTCTGAAGCAATAAAGGTAAAAAAAAACACCAACACATATTTAAGAAGAAAAGCCAAGAGGTTCTATTTAAAGCTCCTCATTTGCATTATAACCTCACACACAATAACACAACTCCCACTCAGTTGTGTTTGCAACATAGTCAGTCTCAGTTACAGGAAAAAGGAGGGAAACACTAGAAAGAATGCCAAGCATTTTGTTTTATTTAAACAAAATGTTTGAAATTTGCTTTATGAATTTAGAAAAGGAACTAAATTTGAAAAGCAGATTTGATCTGTGAGCAAACCTAAMCTCACTTTCACTTCATAACATGTGGGACCAACGTGTGCTAAAGGTGCTGGAGTTAAATTAATCAACCTGAGAGATTACAGAGGCTGATTTGAACTCACCTCTAATGAYGTGCAGGCTGATTTGTAATTATCTGTAATGACAAAAAAGCATAAAAGTTGAGTTACTCACACTTAAACAATGAGAATGATCTTTTTAATTTTTTTTCCCAGACGCACACTTTTTAATCATGTATGTGAACATTTTTAACAGAAATGCAGCATATCTTTAGGCAAACTAACAGCAAAAACATGCAAATCACAGGACATGAAATATTTATTAAATGTGTCAAGAATAGAAATAGAAACTAGACAGAAAAGGATACATTACTATTAGTAACACATTATTTTTTTTCTCTGTAGAGTGTGTGATATGTCTTCAAACTACATAAAAGAAACAGGCCTCACGACATTTTGGGGGGTTAATGTATCCATTTATTGTCCATAACAATAAAACTTACTTCCTGTCAGCATCTGCTAATGATTACTTGTGAGCTCACAGATTAAAGTACAACCAGAGTGACAGAGCAGCAGACTTTAACACCAACCCAAAGTGTAAAATTAAACCAGTGTGTATTTTCACACACTTTCACCACATCTGTACTTTTATACCAATACCCTAATTGGCCAGGACTCCCACGAAAAACAGGCTTTTAAACATTACTAATAAGTAATCAATTGATTAAAAAAAATCAAATAATTTACAAATAAAACTGACTCATACACAACTAATGGATGGGAAACATTGAATTAAACTTATTTTGAAAAGCTATCTCCTTTGTTTATCCCAGACACGAGACAACCATGGAAGCAGCCAGTAGATGACCACTAGTCTGGTTTGTTTCTTTCCCAAAAGTGAGGAAATCTTCGTGGCATGTTTTCAGGACACAACACAAGTGTGAACACTGTTCCCTCGTGCCCTTTGTTGAACTGATCCGTCCACAGACGGGAGAGTTCTGCATCCATTTAACCACAGTTAAGAACTAGCTCGTGGCCTACTTTTCTGCTCAGTTGGTGCTCTCCGTCACCAGAATGAAACATTTCCTTGTTACTTCTCAGTGATTACTTGCTGATCACAGCAGTGGTCTGCAGCTCAGCAGGACAACTGAATACAGGACGATATCAGCAGATTGTCAAAGCCCAGAATTGGTTTTTCTGAGAGTTTGCCAAAAATCACACCACCTAGTCCCCGACTCATGTTTAGGCCATTTGAAGGTTGCATAAGCACTGATTTTCTGTAGATTTAGCACCCTCTTGTACCAGCCTCTGGACGCTTAATAGGACTCACATCTCTCTCATCACTGGGTCTAATAACAATCAGGATGGGGCCCAAGCAGTCCCAAAATACCTCATCCCCCCAGCCAAAACATTCTCCTCATAATCTCCCAACTTATTTGCGCTCGTATTTCTATAGTCTGTTATTAAAATGGCTCTGTTCTATTTTTAGCGGCGTAAAAACAAAGCTCAGCAGCAACTCCCAAAACCTGTTTATTCTGTGCGAGTCGCACAGAGTGAATGTTCCTGAGCACTTAAATAATATAGGATGAAGATGAGCTGGAGTGAGGATTGGAGGAAGAACGATAAAGAGAGGAGGAGAGGATGTGGCTCAAAGGTTCCCAAGAGAGATGGGGCGCAACCTGAGAAACCGAAATCTGTTTTGACAGACACACCTCCTCGTCCTCTCACACCCATCTCCCACATATTTATGGAATGCAGTTAGAAACCACAAGGCTTCTGACACAATGTGAACACCTGTTAACACACCTGAGCTGCTGAGCTGAAGAGGAAACGTGCTGTACACAAAAAAAGTTTATTTTATTTTATTTTTATTGGTTTTGGAGCATCTTTTTTAATATTCAACCTGTAGTTTCTTTTTTAACCCTTATAAATAAATTTATTTTATTAGTTTTTTACCTGCTATTGTGAGTTTAAATTAATACTTAATTATTAGCGAAGTAAGAAAATATTGATATACTGATATATTAGGGGTGTAAGAAAATATCGATACACTGAAATATCGTGATATTTCATTTCCCGATACTGTATTGGTATTCTAAAGCCCTGTATCGATTTTTAATTAAGGTTTAAAATGTCAACCTCCTTGCCAACCGTTCATTTTTATGTTGTAGTTCAGCCTCTGACCACTAGTTGGCAGCAGTGAGCCAGACATTTGGCTCCTCTACTTCTTGAGCGCCAGAGAGTAAGGGTAGCATTAGCATTGTAAGTAAACATTAGCTTTTCTTTTTTTTTCAGTAAGAGGTTTTTATTTAATAGAATTTTTGGAAAAAAAATCGCAATATATCACAATATACTGCCTTGCTTACAGTATCACAATATATCGGGATATATCGTATCGTGACCCCTCTGTTATATGTATCGTATCGCCAAATTCTTGCCAATACACAGTCGTATGATATATTATATTTAATTTCCCAATACTGTATTGATTCTCAAAAGCATGGCATTGATTTTTAATAAAGTTTTAATGGATGAAAGTTGTGAGAAGAAATGTTAAATACAAATGCAGTTCTTACTGTTCCTCTGATTGCATAAAATTAGAATTTAATCAGATTTTATGCATGTACTGCATGGTGAAATCTTTATTCTGAATCCTTTGTTTACAGTATCACAACACACAGCCCTGTTAATTATAAATGGGAACAAAACTGGGTACTGATGCTGAAAGTATTTATAGTGCAAATCATCCAGATTCAGTGGTCAGGCTGTTTGCATTAAAACTAATGGCTTACGAGTTTAAAAGGTGTCAGAAAACACCAGAGGGACTTTAACTTTACCTACTTATACAGACAACTGATGGGGTGGTGAAGCAAGAAGTGTTGAAATTTTGGATTTTCTACAAGTAAAAAAAAAAAAATCTTTGAAATTTTTAAGATCTGCTTTAATCAAGGTGGGGTAAAAATCTGCATGAGACTAAAACCCTTGTGCTCAGGTAAAGATACGCCCTTTTATAACCTACAACCTGTACATCCACTTCTGTTATCATTATGAGCCTGTTAGTTAGATGTATGACTAATCTCTCCTTGACTTAAAGCCAGTTTCTCTCATGATGGGAAAAATTATTTGCTTTGATCTAACCTACACTCAAAGTGCTCTACAGTTTGAACTGATCACGTGGTTTTAGTGTGTACTGTAGTTAACTGACCACTAATGTGAATCCAGTTTGTTGTGTAAACATCAGGTTCTGCTGGAAGAACATACTACCGGACTGATAATTCATAAAACAGCTTTCGTGGTCTTGGAGAGGCCCAGCAGTTACGGAACCATGTTTTATTACAAACAGCATCTTTTGCGCCTGTAAACAAATTCACCACATGTTTAGAAGCAAGCTGCCACAACAACATGGCCTCTTCTTAAAGATGCTCTCGTTCGGCCTGAGAGGAAAACTGTAGAGTTTTTCATTCATAGCAGTTTAGCTGCCCAGAATCCAGACGACAATACTAGTCTGGTCTGGGTTGGTTTAATTACCTGTGCTGTCTTCAAAGTGAAGCGTCACAGTCCCGTCTCTGCTGATCTTTACATTCCCGGGTCCCTCGATCCTCCTCGGCCAGTCCACCGCCGAGGCGCCCGCAGACTTGGCGGAGCCTTTCCTCCGATGTTTCTGCGCTAAGGTCCGGCAGCACTGGTAGCATACAGCCCATGCCTGCTCTTCGTTTATCGGCTGGCTGTACAGAGTCAGAATTTCATCCAGGCAGACGTCTTCGGATTCGTCGCCGCCGTCCGCGTCAACGTCTCCGGTGTTCAATTCCGCGGAGAAATTTCGAATTACGGTCGGCGAAGGCAACATCCCGTCGTCATTCCCTGGTCGTTTAGCCATGTTTTTTTATCAAACCATCTTATTCTCCACACACGAAGAAAATTTCAAATAATAAATCTTGATGTCTCGGAGTTACCGGGCAACAGTCTAGCAGCGGACAGCTGGTGTCATTCAATGTTGCGCTGTTTGTCTGACTGAGGACACGCAGCTGACTGCGTGCTCCGCGTGGTCTCTACGCCCGCCGATTAAACGAATTGACGCGCCGGAAATACGTATACTACTTCCGGTAATTAATTTAAAATCAAAACAAAAGCCTTTTGAAAGCCAAAAATGTTGAATATATGTCATTGGTCCAATCACATGCTACAGCGGTCATTACAGTGTGACTAGATTGAATGAACAACAAGGCAGACACATTTTAGACACCAATAAATGCATCTTCTGCTTATTTCATTGGTAGTAAAGCGCCTTTCAAAATAAAGGGATTTCTTGCAATGTACCCTGTGCAAGATTAGCCCTATTAAAATACTTATTTACACTAATCTTTATTTGCTGTATTAATTTTATTTCTGTTTTCTTCTTGATATTTACAAAGAAATCAACACCCCACCCCCACACTGGTTGATTAAGGCACATTTTATGTGTTTTTAGTTTAATTTTTTTCTAAAACTTCAACATTTGTTTTCCGTTGCCTGACTTAAGCATTTCAACATTACAATCTCAGGGAATCATTAAAAATAYAGACATTGTTGTCTTCAAGCAGTTGTTCAGCATCACCATCTGCAGGTCATAGATTTTATTTTCATTTCCTGAGTTCATTTCATATGTTCAAATATCCAAATCTCAGCTTCTAAACAGCACTTTAGGTTATTTTAAATAAATCAGTCACTGCGGTGACTGGGATAATGGGTGAACCATCTACTCTATTTGGTAAAGAACATTTTAATATATATATATTTAAATTTCATGACATTAATTAAAWTTCTGATAACCAACAAACATTGAACAATATATGCAACACCTTGTTTTTAACTATTAAAACAGTAAGTTACTGCATTTCATTTTTGAACAGTTGTGGCAAAGAATGCAGCTCTCAACCCTGAAAAGGAAGAAGCGTGTACAGAAAATGGATGGATGGATGGATGGATGGATGGATGGATGGATGGATGGATGGATGGATGGATGGATGGATGGATGGATGGATGGATGGATGATATCACAGAGCAGTGCTACTCCACGCATTAGTGGTCTGGAGACAGGAGGGTAGGTAAAACCACTGCAGTGGTATAACTCAGGTTGGTATAGGTTTCTGGTTTTGKGCAGACGTAAAGTTTTGGGTCCACAGGTGCAGTGGATTTAACTGCAAACATGTGGATCACTGGCATGGTTGTGAACAGAATTTTGGGAGWGGACTTGATGAGATGGATGTTCTTTCTTTTACAGCCAGCGCCGTCCAGGTACAACCTATAGACATAAACCCCTCCTGTTAAAAAAAAATCAGACAGTTCATTAAAATCTGCCTTAAAGAGATCATTTGTGCAGTTTTCTCATCAGGGACATTTAACTCACAGTTGGTGAAGCTGTGATCTCTTCCACTGATTTCTTCAGAATATTGTTGTTAAGAGTTACTGTGTGCAGAGCCCAGCTTTTGTTTGCCCTGGTTGCTTCCTGAAAACCTGCCAATGTCAGCTAAACATCATTGTTAAGAGCCATGGAAGGTTGGTGGTCATGTCATTGCATATATTACGTGTGTGTTTGTTGTGTGAATGGGTGCATGTGTTAATTTGTTTGTCTGTTAGCAAAATATGTCTTGAGTCAGTGGAGCTTTGAAAGCATGCATRCGCACACAGGCACCTACAGGCAAAAGTTTCTTCTAAACTAAAAATAGTTACAATAAATTACAGACAGCAGAGRGGTTTCTGTGTTATCAGGAAAACATGTTTTCATCTGTGCATATGACAATAAACTCTTTGAATCTTGAATGTTGGAGCAAAACCAAAACAACTACCAACGTTCCTTCAGATAAAGGAACGTTGGTTTATACACTAGTTCAGATGTACCTGTGATCATGCAGACACTGGATGATCAGTGCATGAAGCTGAGCACAGCAATCATGGTTGCCAGATTTAAAAAAATGCATTTTTACCCTTCTTTTTCTTTGCACAAGTCACCAAATGCAACACACCTCATCTTACAACAACCTCACTCAGTACGAATGAAAGTTTGGGTCAAAATACAATAATTTTTAAGGGACAGTACAACAGTTTACCATATCCCATCTGGCAACTGTGCCTGACACATTACTGCAGCGGTTCCATAGAAACGGATGATTTTTATTTTTATTTTTATTCATTTATTTTTGTTATTGTTGTTTATTCGTCCCAATACGCATTGAAAAGACACCAGTATTCCCATCCRGAGACCAGTCTTGTGTAAATAGGGCCTAACAGATCACATGAGATCACATTTTTGTTTAAAACTTCCAGTCGTTCGACCATCTCAGGGTTGGCAGCTGCAGCTTTCATGTCAAGACAAGCCAGCTTAGAAAGGCTGACATCTGTGACCGCAGTCAGATGAACGACACACTCATTTCTTGTCTGGTGGTCTAATACGGTAAAAGACAATTGGTTTCAAATCTAGTTTTGCTAAAGTAATTTAGTAATATTTAGGACTAACAATATATCCCTTCTAAAGATCCACACTCAAAAGACTGCAGGAGACAACATAAAAAAGCAACAACAAATTAAATTACCATCTGTAGAGTTCAGACATTGTTTCATTTCATGCGGGAAGTTCTTTTTAATTTTCTCTCCATGCCTGGATTTTTCTAAGGCAAATTCCCTGCGCTTCAAATGCAGGCAGCACAAATTTGTAGGTGTTCCTTATTCCTTTCAGGAGGTCGTCTCTGGCATCAGTCACTGAGAAAAAGATTTCCTGAAGGGGTAAAAAAACAAGATGAGTCAGCACTGCATGAAACMTTCATTCTCTGAAGGCGAGACTTTAGTTGGAATGAAACGGATTCAAACAGGAGCCAAGTTCAGCAGATGTAGACTTACCATTAATCCGTTCATTTTCTCCCACTTGGTCCAGTCGAGGAGGCAACGATTCRGGAGGTAAACCCAGACATCCCTCTCCCCAGTGCCTCCTGAAGGATCTCAAGGCGTTCTCAGGCCAAAGACATCACATAATCCCTCCAGCAAGTTCTGAGTCTGGTTCTTCCAGAGGGTCTCAACCCAGTAGAATGAGAAAACCTCCAGAGATTTTATAATCAAATGCTTGAACCATAGATAACCCAGTTTTTCTTACCTGCACTTGACTTTTATTATTTCAAGAGCTGCAAACATTTGCACTGATATGCTTTCAAATAAATGCACTTGACACATTAGGGCAAGTCCAAATTCAGTTTCTGGGATGTATTATAAGCATTATATTACAAAGGTTGCAGTTATTACATTTAAAAGCAAAAACGCCACCATTTTTATCTTATATGTACATGAAAAAGAGATTTTTTTTATCCCAGTCATGCCACTAAAATACATTAATAGAAAAATATGGATATTTACACAAACCACCTYACCTCATGTATCTTCTCAGAGGAACATCTGCTTCAGTCCGAATGAAGACACAGCACAAGCCTGTGAGGTCTGTCTGAGCTAAATCAGCAARAAACAACCTCAGTGTTTTTCCATCTTTGCTTGGTCCAGAATATGAGCGTCCACACTGAAATGAAATACAAAAGATTTATAGGAGATGAAAACAAGAATATACACAGGACATGTAGCTGCTCATGGTTTTACTTTTACAATTTTGAATTGTGCTACTGATGAAAAAAGACTATTTGTATTTAGTGGTCTTAGTAAAGATGTTCTCTAAAAACGTGCAAGTTTTTATTTTATTTATTTATTTTAGAAATTAAAAAAGCATTTTTAAATTTATTTTCACTGTAATGGGGTTGGTAAATGCATAGTCATGAACTTTTGAAAAAAGACACAAGACATAACAGTTTGGCCTATAACTATAATCTTTTCTGATTTATTCCTACCTATACCTGGGATCTCCGACTCTTGATGAAGGAAATGGTTTTACGACCTCCAGCAGTAAAGAAATTGTCAAATGCAGCCAGCTATTCAGCAAGGAAGAAAAATAAAAGAGAAAACAACCAAACATGTTTAATGCTCTTTAGATAAGTGATGTTAATTTTGATTTGATTAATTTTATTTAAGTGTCGTGCACCTTCTGGTGCCCAGCCCTCATGGGCTTACACTCCACACGTAAAAAACACATGGTGTTAAAAACAAACACTGCAAAGTGCAAAGAAGTAATTAGGAAACCAACAAAGAAAATATTTGCAGTACTACAACAACAATGTATAAACTCAGCTGCAGAGATATGGAAGGAAGTTTTCTCCTCTTTAAAGCATTTGTAAAAGGTCACCTGACTTCTTAAACAACTGGCAAGTTATTAATTTATAGATAGATAGATAGATAGATAGATAGATAGATAGATAGATAGATAGATAGATAGATAGATAGATAGATAGATAGATAGATAGATAG